CCATGATGTCCACTACCTCCCCCATGTCCACCATCTCCCCCATGTCCACCGTGATGTCCACTACCTCCCCCATGTCCACCATGATGTCCTCTACCTCCCCCATGTCCACCATCTATCTCCACCATCTCCCCCATGTCCACCATGATGTCCACTACCTCCCCCATGTCCACCGTGATGTCCACTACCTCCCCCATCTCCACCATCTCCCCTAAGTCCACCATCTCCCCCATATCCCCCATGCCCACCATGATGTCCCCCATAACCCCCATATCCACAACCTCCATGTCCACCATCTCCCCCAAGTCCACCATCTCCCCCATCTCCCCCATGTCCACCATGAGGTCCACCATCTCCCCCATGTCCACCATCTGTCTCCACCATGATACCACCTCCCCCATGCCCATCATCTCCCCATGTCCACCACCTGCCCCATGATGCCAACCGCCGCCATTCTGCCACTACCTCAAATATCAACAGACGTTTGCTACAAGTTGGGCCCTGGGCTGAGCGACAGGGATACCAGCCTGTGTCTAATTATTATAGGTGATCTGGTCAGAGAGAATCTCTGGCACAGCCAGCGTGAGGAAACCTGAGACCGGCCTGTGAGTCTGGCACCTGCCCAGATTGTGGTCAAGGCTCCACGCTGCCTCCGGGGCTCAGAGACACCCACTGCGGTTGCCCCTTCCCCGGACCCGCCCTCCTGGGCACTCAGAGTCCCAAGTTAACCTCTCATGACGGCTCCCCGGTCATCTGGAAGAAGCAACGCGAGCGTCCTGGGGGTGAGAAGGGGCGTGTGCCGGTGGGTCCCCTCCGATGACACTGTCGGTCACGATTACACATTCTACAGGAAGCACTACTTATGGAAGTTCCTGCGGTTTATCAGGAACTGTGAGCACTTCACCATTATCGCGTTTAATTCTTCCTCAACAGCCCTTCAGAGCAGTGGCTCTCAACCCGGGTGATTCTGCCCCTCGGTGAGCATTTGGTGATGTCAGGGGCCCGTCAACACACGGCCAGCCCGAAGGTGACAGGGCCTCCCAAGCCTCTCATTCCAAACTACATTGGAAACCACAAGATGCCAGGACAGCGAGCATTGGGCGGCCACTTGGCTGAACGGGCTTAACTCCTGGGTGCCCGGGTCACCCAGCTAACAGTGGCCTTGGCCTCCCCACAGCAAGTCCCCAACCGCGTGCCCAGGGCTGTCCTGGACGGGCAGGAAGGTAGGTCCACCGTCCCCTGTTGCCCAGCAACAAGGTCACCCTTTGAGTGAAGTGACAGAGTGACATGATGAATGTGACATTTTCAGAAAGAGCCGGTGTTTGGGACAGAAGAGCAGGGCCCTGGGAGCAGGCTCTCCAGGGAGCAAACAGGACAGGGCAGAACTCCAGACTGTGGCGCCCATAAAAGCTGACACCTCGCCCCGGACATGGGGAATTGTGAGAAAGGTGACACCTGGGCACTCAGCTCTCATTAAGAGGCAAATTAAACATGCAGCGGCCTGTGGCACGCAGGACACGTACTGACCTGTCACGGGCAGGAGTGAGCCCTCCGCCAGCCCCTGCCAGGAACATGCCTCTTAGGTGTATAAACACAGAACATCCACTGGGCTCGAGATCCAACACGCGGCGCACATGAAAGCAACGAGGAGGCGTCACTGTCCTGCCAACCAGGTGTTTAAGAAGAATACTGCACAGGACGGGGGGGAAGGCGGGGACACGGGCACCCTCTATTTGCCAGAGGCGCCCCCTGTCTGGGGCGCAACTGGCAACAATGTGTCCAGAGGTTTAAAATAAACATAGGCTTTCACCCCGCGATCCGACCTCCACAAACCCACCCCAAAGAAACTACCAGAGGTTCCCATAAACTCTGCATGTCTGAGGATGCTCAGCTCGGCACTATCTGTAGACAAACCCAAAAAAAAGGCAACAACCCACAATTCTAACTACAGGAGACGGTTCGGTGAATAAATGGCCTGTTCCATGGCCATGAAGAGTTACATTTCCAAAGGACCGCAAAGCCAGGAAACTCACAGCTCAGCCAGAGACACAAAATCAGTAACAGAATGTGTAATATAGCATCAGTTTGTTTAAAAATATATCTATGTATGTGCATAAGAATAAAGTCAAATTAAATACCAACAAACTTTAATAGTGGTGGGACTCTGGGGAGTTTTCACGATATGATACTTTTCTACAGTTTCCAAGTCTACACGGACCCTGTTATTTTATACTCGGGGAAAATAAAACTGCTTTCAGTTTAAATATAAAGAAATAGGGTCGCCGTGGAGTCCCCCGAGAGAAAGGACCCCGTGTGACCTCCAGGCAAGTGTCAGCTTTTGTCTCTGTGGCTGAACTACTGTTTATCTGATCAGTGTGACAATAAGTCCCCACTCTTTAGACAAAACCAGGCCCTCAAAGTGTCTGACATCAGAAAAGGAGAGTGGAGGTACTAGGAGATGGGGGCAGGGACCCCCAGAGAGGTGTGGGGCCGGCGGCAGGAAGGTTAGTGGTGTAGCCAGTGGGCGCCCTGCCTGCAGTGACAGTCCTCCTGGGGAGGCCCCGGCACAGGGTCAGCCCCAGGGGCCCAGCCCGAACGGCTGCAGGCACCCCGGCGAGCCTCTGGGAGGCTGTCTATAGCAGGGGGCCAGGGTTGGCAGATCCAGGGCGGACTTGGGGACCTGCCAAATTTTGCCCCCTCCTCTCCGCCTTCCCTCCCCACAGTTGCATGTGCCGAGGTCACTGGGCATGAGAATTCCATCCCCTCATTTCCCTGCTACCGTGGGCCACACGTGGCTGTGGCCAGAAAGGGAAGTGAAAGGGGTGTCTCAGGGATTCAGCCTCCCCGCCCTGGGGACCTGCATGTGTCCTTCCTGAGATGCACTCAGGGCTAGGGCTAGGGCTAGGGCTAGGGCTAGGGCTAGGGCTAGGGTTAAGGGTAGGGTTAGGGCTAGGGGTAGGGCTAGGGGTAGGGTTAGGGGTAGGGCTAGGGTTAGGGCTAGGGTTAAGGTTAGGGCTATGGTTTGTGCTAGGGCTAGGGCTAGGGCTAGGGGTAGGGCTAGGGTTAGGGTTAGGGTTAGGTGTAGGGCTACATCTAGGGCTAAGTTTAGGGTTAGTGTTAGGGCTAGGGTTAATGTTGGGGTTTGGTGTGGTGTCGGTAGTGTCCCCTGGAAACATGCCCACCTACCTCTGAAGCACAGAGACTGTTCCTTGCTTGCCAGCTACCATTTCTCAAACTCGGGGCCTTTCTCCTGTGGCTTCATGGGGGGTGAGGGGGAGCGGATGAGTACAGTGTCCCCTTTGCTCCTTTCTTTGAATTCTCTGCCCTGGGGCAGGCAGGACACCTGCCTTGAAAGCCCTGGAGCTTGCCCTGGTCCAGTGCCTCAGTTAAGTGTTTCTAAGGCAGGACTCAAGCCTATGTCTTCAGATTCCAAATCAAGGTCCCTGCAGAGACCTCAGAGGTCAACCACAGTACTTTGGAGAACACAGAGGCAGGACAGGATGGGCGGCCTGTTCAAGGTCACAGCCATCCACGCAGTACTGATGCCAAAACCCACCGATCCTGACCCCGTAACACCCAGCCCTCGTATGAATGACCATGAGAGCCAATTATATCAGCTCAGTTAACAGCTCAATTAACAACAGGGGTGACCACCTGCACCGAGAGGCAGAGGCAGGGGCAGTCAGAACCGAGGCCTTTCTGACTTCAGGACCGCTGCTGGTGGGGAAGGTTGGGGCGCCTGGTGGTGAATGAAGGCCAAGTTTAAAGCCGGGGACTCTGTACCTTTTAGGACTTTATGAGAGAGCCCGCCTGGGCTTCCAGTGCCAGCTCAGGGGCCAGTGTCTGCTGAGTGACCAGCCCCGCCTGGGGTTTGTGCCTAGTCAAGGATGGGATGAATGACTGAGCACAGGAATTCAGGGCCTCGATGAGCAGCATCCTGAATTCTTGGTATATGGAATAAAGGATTTGCGGAAGCTAAATCTGCATCTGGTTCACCTTTTACAACGTGTGCCACATAGCTCTGGTTCCCGTTCTGCCAGAGCCTTGGGGACAAGGTGGGGGTGGCGTCAGGCTCTGGAGGCCACCGCTGGGTCCCATGCTCACATGCTCCCTGGTGGAAGGCTGGGGCCCCTGAGGGTAAGGACACTCGCCTGCTCCCAGTCCGGGGCTCATCCCTGCGGATGCTGAGATCCCTTCCTTCCCAGCTCTGCCTCTGCTTCCTTCCCGCTGGCCGTCATGGGGGACCCTTACCTGCTGTGCCCCTTTGTTCCTGTCTGCAGGCGGGTGGCATGTCCCTGTCACCAGCGGAAAAGTGCACCAGGAAAGCTAAGGGACCAGCCCACATTTTTGTTCAGCAGTTTCACACCTGGGCTGAAAAGCCACGGGACTACAAATCTTTTCTGGGTCTCTGGCTCTCAGGGAGCTGCCATCATTCCTCCCAGGAATGTCCCCACCCCCTTTAGACAGAAGAGCAAGCTGGGAGCTGAGAAACTGACACCTGCTCCGCCCTGGGGGCTGCTGGAGAGGTCTTAGTCCTGGCTCGCTCTCCACGCTCAGGGTAGCGAGAATGGCGCTCAGCTGTTTCCTATACAGGAGGGTGAATTCCACAGAAGGGGCTGTTAGGCAACCCACACCCACCGGCACTACGGACCCAGAGGCCCATGAGACGATTTCGGTCATGGGTGCCAGAGGAATGGCAGACCCCTAACTTTGGGAAGCGAGTCTTTGGAGAAACGGGGGGCACAGGGGGCAAGGGGGACAACGTCAGGGCCCAGAAACTCTCGAACATCCAGATGTGTCCCTCCCCGCCCTCTTTCCCCAGCAGAGTCCCAGAAAAAGTTCCCGCTGGGGACGTGCCGGGGTTACACCGGGGAGCAACTCCTCCAGGGCCGTGGCTCACGAGCACCCAAACCTTTTCCAGGCTCCACCTGAGGCCCCTGGGCTGTGGAGACCTCGCCCTGGCCCCTTCCTCCCTCCCTGCCCCAGCCCGGCCGCAGGCTCACCTTTGGGCAGCTTGGACGCGTTCTCCTGGATCCAGGTGAACAGGTGGGCAAAGTCGCAGTCGCAGAGCCAGGGGTTCCCGTCCAGGCGCAGGGTGCGCAGCGCGGGCAGCGCCGCCAGGGCGGCCACGCTCAGGCCGCGCAGGTTGTTGTGGTTCAGCTCCAGCACCTGCAGCGACTCCAGGCTCTCGAAGGCGGCCTCGTGCACGCCCGCCAGGCGGTTGTTGGCCAGGCTCAGCCGGACCAGCCTGCCGGCCGAGCGGAAGGCGCCGGCGCCCAGCTGGGTCAGGTTGTTGTAGCTGAGGTCCAGGAAGGCGAGCTTGGCCGAGCCGCTGAACGTGCCCTCCTCCAGCGCGCGCAGCGAGTTGTTCCTGAAGTCCAGGTAGACCAGGTCGCCGTAGAAGATGAAGAAGTCCTCGGGGATGCGCTGGATGCGGTTGCCGGCCACCAGCAGCTTGCGCACGTCCAGG